CCCACGGGGACACACCCACCACCCACACGGACCACCCACGGGGACACACCCACCACCCACACGGACCACCCACGGGGACACACCCACCACCCACATGGACCACCCATGGGGACACACCCACCACCCGCACAGACCTCTGACACCACAGGAACACCCCCATCGCCCAGGAGCGCTGTCCACACGCACTGCGGGCACACGCAGCCTCACCTGCCAGGTTGTCCAGCTCCTTCTCCTGCAGCAGGCTGACCGCGTCATCGTCACCTTCGAGCATCAACTCCGTCTCCGTGTTTGGGTTGACGATGGCTTGGCTCCGGAAGGTCTTCTTGGACTTGAGCAAATCTTCTTCCGTGCCTGGTGACAAAGGGACAGCTGGTCATTCATACCAGACATGGGCCTGTGTTCTGTTTCTTCTTAGATGAGCCTCATCTTAGATGCTGGTTTAACCACTTTCCAGAATGTTTCTGCCTCACTCAGCTTTGGCTTCTAACGATATCATTCATCTTTAGGGTCTTTGGAACAAGTCTGAGAGGCCGGGGTGGTGGCGACAGCTGTTATTACACTGAGGAGTGCGCCTCCGCGGAGGTGGCCGTGGCCTAACGAGCGAGTGGCCTAGGGCTGCAGGCAGCCTCGCCCCACAGAGCTGAGCTCCGAGCAGCCAGGCCAGTGCTCCCCCTGCCACATGCTGCCTGGAGAACCCAGGTCTACCTGGAGGGCAGTCTTCTCTGGAGGGGGCACCTCTGGTCCTCCGCCTAGCAGCTGGCTGACCACCGATGCAGCAATCAGGCCAACTGCTCAAAGTGCTGGAGTAGCAGAGACACTCCACTCAGGCCTGGGCCCCAACCCACATGCACTTTTCTAACCCACAAAATGAGACCATTTGACCGACTGTATTTTCTGTGTGAAGTAGTTACTATATAAAGGGAGCTCTGGTGGCCTCCTGGGAAGAGGCTGCACGCGGTTCGAGTCCACCAGGTGCTCTGTGGGAAAAGCTGGGCAACCTCCTCCAGGTGACTCTGCGTCTGAAAACCCACCAGAGGGTCAGCGGGGGGTTGGCCCAACTTGATGGTACCCAACAACAGCTACTCAAGCAATCAGATTGTTTCAAAATGTCGTTATTTTTTAAGATTATGGAAAATCTATTTGCCACACACTCCTGCCATCTGGTAAGTGTCCTGGTGACATTCTGGCTTGAGTCTGAGCAACCAGCTCGCACGGCCGCTGTCAGGAAATGCCGTCGGGGCTCTCGTGACGTAAGAGGGAGTGTGCTCCCCATCCTTCCATCATGAGCCAGTCACGGGCACAGTGATGCCCTGCATTCACGGCCTGGAGGCTGAGCAAAAGGTCACTAGAAGCTTCGGTGCAAAAAGATGGGCTTCCTCCCTGAAGGTGTGCAACTGCTGAGGCCTGCTGGGGGTGGAGACACAGGCCTGTGGGGGGCACGGGTCCGCTGGGGGGGCACAGGCCCATGAGAGGGCATAGGCCCATGGGGGGCATGGGCCCACGGGGGGTTACGGGCCCACTGGAGGGTCCACAGGCCCATGGGGGGGGCACAGGCCTGCCAGGGGGGCACAGGCCCAGCTTACTTGCCAACAGCAAGCCTGGTTAGCTAAGCGGGGCAGAACCTGACGAGGAAAACATCTCCATCTACCATCCACTGCCATGTCTGGCACGCCGCGTAGGCACCGTGGACTGCCCAGTCACGTCACACTGAGAGCGGGTGAGGGGATGCTGAGAGGAGACATGGCAGCGTGTGCAACAGCACAGAGGAACAACTGATAATGATGCAGGAGCAAAGACCACCCTCACGGGCATTTTCCTGGCAAATAATGGAAAAACACTGGTTTTCTAAAACAGTCTTTTCCTTAGACCACATAGCACAACACAAAGCCCAAATCAAAACACACGATGTCAGTCAGAAAAAGAATAAATATCACTAAATTTTGCCTGGCAGAAACCTGTCAGTTAGGGTCAAGGTTAGAAACTGCAGCAGAATTGACTTGCTCTTGGATTTTTCCAGTGTTGTTGTTATGTGCCGTCGAGTCACTTGCGACTCATAGTGACCCTATGTACAACAGCCCTAAACTCTGCTCTGTCCTGTGCCAATCGCACTGTCTCTGACACACCCATCCTGATTACCCCAGTCACTGAATCAATCCACCTCATAGAAAGTCTTCCTCTCCGGTGCCGTCCCTCCACCCTCCCAAGCATGACATTCCTCGTAAGGACCATGTGGGTGTGTAGATGCACGCAGCCTGAGGGCTTGTGGAGAAGAAACACCACGACTCAACTGAGCCATCGCTAACCCTCCAGGGGGTTTTAAACGGGACGGGAGACCCCCACTCCTCTGCTGTGACTGGAGCCTAAAACAGGTGGGGCTCAGGTGAGCGGCCCGTTCAGCACACACACACCTAGGCTGCGGGGCGCCACGGCGTCAGGTCCCCTCACAGGGACCCCAAGTGACAACAAAGCATGGACCTTATGGGTTTTGTAGGCTGTAATCTTTCAGGGGCAGATTTCAGGAGCTGTACGGTGGGGCTGAAGCACCAATCAGTTGAATGTTTGGCCTGTGTGTCACCAGCATCTGCCCTCAAAGGTCACACCCGACTCTTTTCAATGGAAGTGTCAGGGCACCCTGCCTTCAGTGGGGAGGCACATGTGAGAACCTCGTATCTTAAATGAGAGAGGGCAGGGTTCTTACATCCGAGGGTCCATAAGCCTGCGTACCCCCACCCCCAGCCTGCAGAGGCCAGCCTTCCTTGTACACACCCCAGTGATCTGTGGGAAAGGAGGGGAAAGATGAGAAGATGGGGGTGGGGCATGGAATTTACATTAGTCTGTGATAACAAAATAAAAACCTCCCAATAAGGAAATTGTACAGGGGAAGTGTGAAGTGTGGATCAGGACTTCAGTTTGATCCCTGAGTTTTAAGGCAGTAAAACAATCATGTCTGTGGAAGGAAGAGCGACTCCCATCAGCAGGCAGAGGGCCTTCCCCTGCCCGGCAGTGGCACCAAAGATTTATCTAAATTAAAGTCTATGAGATCCAAAGGTGCTTTTCAATCACAATATCCTTTATGAATTAGAGTTTCATTTATCAAAATTACAGGCAAAAAGAGGGAAGGTCTCCTAGGGCCATCTCATTACAAGGCTTGTAAACACTGTCCTTAGAAAGAATTGGTTTAACACCCAACAAATCAGAATCTGATTGGGAAGAGAATTTACTTGTGATCATCTGTCTTCAGGAGATGCACTGCACGGGGTGCACTGGGCCGCTCCAGCCATTCATCAAGAAATTAACAAGCAGAGGCCGCAAAACAACAGCCTGGCTCCTGCCTGGAAAAGCCGCTCTGGTGTCAAACTGGACAGGAAGCATGTGTATGTTTTTGGAGAAAACCTAAAAATGCCGTGAAATTTTTAAATTTCAGAACTATTTTAAAAAGCTGCCACTAATGCCCACACTCTGCAACAAATAACAAATATATGCAAGCATTCTATGCACATTAACTTTGTAGGGTAAGGAGCTGTGCTGACAACCCAAAGGTGGTGGTGGTTGTTGTTGTTATGTGCCGTTGAGTCGTTTGCGACTCATAGCGACCCTATGTACAACAGCCCTAAACCCTGTTCTATCCTGTGCCAATCGCATTGCCTCTGACACACCCATCCCGATTACCCCAGTCACTGAATCAATCCACCTCATAGAGGGTCTTCCCCTCCTGCGCTGTCCCTCTACTCTACCCAGCATGATGTTCCTCTCCAAAGACCTGTCTCTCCTTACAACATGTTCAAAGTATGTCAGACGAAGCCCCAGAATCCTTGCCTCCAAGGAGCAGCCTGGTTTAACCCTCTCTAAGATGAATCTGTTTGTTTTCTTGGCAGTCCAGGTACATTCAATACTCTTCTCCAGCACCACAGCTCAAAGGCGTCAATTCTCCTTCTATCCTCCCTAGTCATTGTCCAACTCTCTGATGCATAACAAGTGATTGCAAAGACCATGGCCTGTATCAGGCACACCTTAGTCTCCAGAGAGACACCGTTGCTCTTGAGTACTTTAAAGAGGCAGCAGACTTTCCCATCGCAATATGTTTTTTGATTTCCTGGCTACTGGTGCCAAGAGTGTTGACCGTGGAGCCGAGCAAACTGAAGCTGCGAACAATCTCAATCTCTTCGCCATCCATCTTGATGCTACCGATTGTTCCAGTGGTGAGAATCTTTGTCTTCTTGACACTGAGCCTCAGTCCATACTGAAGGCTGCAGTCCTTGACCCTCTGCAGTAAGTGCATGAGGTCCTCCTCAGTTTCAGCGAGCAGGGTTGTGCCATCTGCATAACGCAGACTGTTGATAGATCTTCCACCAATCCTAACGCCACGCTTCACAGTTCAAATCCACAAGCTGCTGGGTGGTCTGCCCCCATGTGATCTGCAGCCTCTGAAAGCCCCTGGAAGAGTCTGTTCTGAATTGACAGCATGGGCAGCAGCACACACACAGACACAGACACTTGAAGCTCGGTTTGTGAAAAGGTTATCTCGTAAAGGGTACCTTGCTATGTGAACCGGAGCCAAGGTAGTGCAGTGAAGTTTATGGTTCAATTCTACTAGCTTCTCTTAAGAGGAAAGCGGAGAGCCTAGGGATTCTCTAGGGCAGCTCTCTTCTCTCCTGCAGGGTTCCTGTGAGCTGGAACCCACTGGACAGTTGGAACTTTTGTTTTTTTATATTCCTTGAAAAGAAACAAAGTTCCTTCAATAGCCCCAGGCTGCGTGTGGCTACCACCTGCCCCGTCTACACTGCCCTAGCTCACCTTTCTAAGGAACCAAGGCCATTTGAGCACCAGGTCTCCTCCACTCATGTCTTGGGCCCTGTGAGGCCCTCACCACTTCCCTGCCTGGACTCTTGGAACCTGTAGTGGGCAGAGTTGAACGCGGCGGCCAACACAAGCTCCTTGGTTTCGGATCTTCACTCTGGAATCAGTTTCTTCTTGGTGGGTGAGAAGCATCTTACGGACTGTGTCCTCCATGTCTGAGCCTACTTGACTGGCTCCTCTGTACGTTATCACGTCCACTCTACAAGCCACACTACATTCTTCCTGTTCTCCAGCGAGTCTTCAATTCCGATTCTCTTCCTAGCCTCTATGTGGAGTCCCAGTGGCGCAGTGGTTAAGCACTGGCTAACAGAAGGGTAAGCAGCTGGAACCCACGGTCAGTCCTGTAAACAGGGCTCCCCCCCATCCCCCCACAGGCTTCGGGCAGCTTTCCTCTGCCCCTCACGGCTGCTGAGGGCGGCGGGAAACGTGCACAATGCTTTGTCTCTGCACGTCGTTTTGTTGGTAGCAAACCGAATGTATACAGAAATACTTGT